GCTTATTGCCCCCACAAACTGGCTCCTCAATTTACCTACCTTAGAAAGGATGGAAGGCTGAGTCAACCTTGAGCCTGATGAGATTCGAACTTACAGTAATTGCAGACAGCTGGTGTTAATCACAATGCTATCAGTCTGCTGAGCCACGAGGCTCAGCACCTGGTGCATTAGGCCTGAATTATGATGATCTCTACTCATTAGCAGAAGACACGTCTGGATCAAAGAAGGATTCATGACAAGCCACAGTGATATCCAAAGTTAGCTTTGAGATATATGAGAGAAAGAACTGGGGGACAAAGCACAAAATACAAAGACCTCCAAATAGAAGGAGAATGAGCATCTTGTGCAGAAAGTATTACTGTAATGGCTGTTAAAATGAGAATGTCAAATATTATACAATCATCACAATGACAATAGCAATAGCCCTTAGACTTATACACCACTTCACAGTGCTTTACAACCCTCTCTAAGCGGTTTACAGAGTCAGCCTATCACCCCCAACAATCTGGGTCCTCATTTTACTAACCTTGGAAGGATTGAAGTCTGAGTCAACCTTGAGCCGGAGAGATTCAAACTGCCAAACTGCTGGCAGCCAGGAATCAGCAGAAGTAGGCTGTAGTACTGCATTCTAACCACTGCACCATCACAGCTCTTATGTACAATAATATACATCAGGGGTGAAATCCAGCAGGTTCTGACAGGTTCTGGAGAACCAGTAGCAGAAATTTTGAGCAGTTTGGAGAACTGGCAAATATCACCTCTGGCTTGCCCCAGAGTGGGGTGGGAATGGAGATTTTGCAATATCCTTCCCCCAGGAGTGGAGTGAGAATGGAGATTTTGCAGTATCCTTCCCCTGCTATGCCCACCAAGCCACGGCCACCAAGCCATGCCCACAGAACCGGCAGTAAAAAATGGATTTCACCACTGATATACATTGTCTAATAAATTGAATAGATAGTGCTGATTGTGTTACCCCGTTTGGTAATGAAACATGTGCAAGAAAAATAGCTCAGAGAGCACTAAGGACCCCACTAATAAATTTTATTATACTATATTTCATTAATGTGGAAAGAGCCATGGTGGCGCAGTGGTTAGAATGCAGTATTGCAGGCTGATTCTGCCGACTGCCAGCAGTTCAATCCTGACTGGCTCAAGGTTGATTCAGCCTTCCATCCTTCCGAGGTGGATAAAATGAGGACCCAGATTGTTGGGGGCAAGAGGCTGACTCTGTAAACTGCTTAGAGAGGGCTGTAGAGCACTGTGAAGCAGGATATAAGACTAAGTGCTATTGCTATCAACTTTTCCAAAGCAGCTGTTCATGGTAAGCCAGCCAGGAAAATAATAATAATAATAATAATAATAATAATAATAATAATAATAATAACAACAACAACAACAACAACAACTTACATCCTCCGACGATACCTTAACAGTTCCTAGGTCCTTGGTTAGGACTCGAGCTGCTGAGCTATTAACCAGGCTTAAAGGCTGTGAATCTCACTAAAGATTAAATAATAATAATAATAATAATAATAATAATAATAATAATAATAATAAAAATAAAATAAAATAAATCATGTGCCTGTTCTGCCCCAGCTCCAGATTCCCGAGGATATTGACACACACCAACAGTTCTTATCAAATTTATTAAGTGGCAAGAATAAACCAAAGTCCGGCAAAAGTTGGCAACCAGCCCAGAAAACAAGATATGATAAGACTTTTCCAAAAATGCTCTGATGATAATTACAAATTGTTTCTAGCAAGAAACTTACTAACGGCCTGTGACTTAAATAGGCTAAGGGAGTGGCCAATTATCCTCAAGCCTTACTCTCGAGGAGACCTCCTCCTCCTGAGTAGCCACTCCTGCCTTTTGGCAGCCCTGCGTGCTCGAGCATTGAGGAGAGGTTCCTCCACTTCGCTCTCTCCACTTGAAGGAGCCTCTGGAGGTTCTGAAGGCCCTGGCTGAGTCTCTGCCTCTGGCACCACATCCTCTTCAGCCTCCTCGCTGTCCGACGCGAGCGCCAGCTGCGCAGGCTGCTGGCGCGACACCACACCAGCCTCCTCGTCGTCGGGATCAGCCACGATCCGCGCAGGCCACTGGCGGGCCACAACAGTGCCTTGAAAGCAAACATTTAATGTGCAACCTGCAAAGCTGACCTGAAGTTATACCCAAGTTAGTTTCTGCGGGTTGAGATCAATACCAGCCTCGCCCAGCAAACAGGTTCATTTAAGCAATCCACGATTAACTCAGACATAACACTAATATCCTGATGCCAAGCAAGAAACAGGAAGAAGAGTTCATGTGTTCCTGACTGGCATTTAGAACAATAACAATAGGAGCAATTTTGGACAGTGTAGAAGAATTACTGTGACAACCTGGTCCTTCTCTATGTTAATTATACCAGAACACAACAGAAGGAGTGTGAAAGTCCTCATAGAAAGCATGAACGATGGTAATCACTACAGTTGCAAGGCCATTCCTCACTATCCTCTAGATTAGTGACCTTGAGGGCACAGGCTGTCCGACGTGAAAGACCACGACTGCATGTGAAGTTTCAACTAAACTGATATATTGCTAAATAGCCAGTGGATAGGAATCTTCTCAACTAATGTTTAGCCCCTGCTTGGAGTTAGAAAAGACTCAAGGGAATTCAAAGGAGGTTGGACTTAGTCCTCTTGTGACTATGTAGAGATTCTATGCCAGTGATGGCGAATCTGTTTGGCACCGAGTGCCCAAACCGGAATGCGTGTGCCTGTGTGTCCACGTGAGCACGCCGGAGCACCGGAAACCCAGCTGGCCAGCATGCGCATGCTTGTTTTGGGGGCATTTTTTGCTGGGTTTTGGGCCATTTTCAGGCTGGTTTTTTGGACTGTTTTCTGGGCCGGTTTTAGGCTGTTTATTGGGCATTTTCAGGCCGTTTTGGGGCAAATTTTGGACCAAAAAACAGCCCAAAAATTGTCTGAAAATTCCCCCAAAATGGCCTGGTTTGGCTGTTTTTTTGGGCTGTTTTCTGGCACCCCAGTGCCCGCGAAGACCAGCTGGCCAGAGTGCATGGGCATGCCGGAAACCAGAAGAGCAGCTGGCAATGGTAAGCATGTCCACAGAGAGGGCTCTGCGGGCCACCTCTGGCACTCGTCATCACGGTTCTAGGTTGATCCCTCTCTTGACTCCGCCCCCCAGCTTCCGCCATTTCTTTCTCCCACACCGGCCTCTGCAATACAAATTTGACCGTTCAATTCGGTCTGTGCACCTTCCAGTGAAAAAGCCACCACCTCTCCCAAATATTTTAGGAGAACCATCCAAACAATTCATAGTCTCATACAACCATTACAGGGACAATATACAAAGCTGGTAGAAAGCCACTAGTGTGATTCACGGGACGCATCTGAGTGTCATTAGGTTTCGGCAATGATGAAAGGAACGTATGCTTCAGATACACAATTTAGAAAGAGGGAAGTGTTTTACATTTAACAGACTCCAACTGTTGATTAATGTTTGTTACAGTTCTTAAGCTTATTGTTTTCTTGCATGGGTACATTTGTTCAGTTCAGATGGCCCTGTGAATTTCTTAAATAAAATAATATGAATACATCCAGAACCTTTTGTGCCAAAAGCCTAAACATTTGAGGGGTGTGTGTGTGTGTACACTTAACATTTCCCATGGCTGAAGCATCTGAATGATCTTTAGAAACCATATGTTGTGTAAGTGAACTGACTTCAGGGCTAATCATTTAAAGGTATAGAATAGACTCAGAGCATGGCCTTCAATATGGAGATTGAGTTACAAAGTGAGCTTTGAAAAAAGTTGGAAATATTTGTGCTTCCTCCCTCCTTCCCTCTTTTCTTTTCTTTCTTTCTCTCTTTCTTTTTCTTCTCCCCTCCCTTGTCCTTCTCTCCCATCTTTTCTTCCCTCCTTCCCTCTTTTCTTTCTTTCTTTCCTTCTTCCTTTCTCTTTCTTCTCCCCTCCCTTCCCCTCCTCTCCCATCTTTTCCTTCTTTCCCTCCTCCCTCCCTCCCTTTTTCTTTCTTTCTTTTTCTTCTCCCCTCCCTTCCCCTCCTCTCCCATCTTTTCCTCCTTCCTTCCTTCCCTTTTCTTTCTTCCTTCCTTCCTTTCTCTTCCTTCCTTTTTTTCTCCCCTCCCTTCCCCTCCTCACATCTTTTCCTCCTTCCCTCCCTCCCTTTTCTTTCTTTCTTCTTTCCTTTCTCTTCCTTCCTTCCTTTTCTTCTCCCCTCCCTTTCCCTCGTCACCCATCTTTTCCTTCCTTCCTTTCCCCCTCCCTCCCTCCCTCCCTCTTTTCTTTTCTTTCTTTTTTCTTTTATTTTCTTTTTTTCTTTTCCTTTCTTTTCTTCTTTTCTTTTCTTTTCTTTTCTTTTCTTTTCTTTTTCTTTTCTTCTTTTCTTTTCTTTTCTTTTTTCTTTCCTTTCCTTTTTCTTTATTTCTTTCTTTCCTTCCTTCCTTCCTTCCTTTCTCCCTCCCTTCCTCTTCTTTCTTTCTTTCTTTCTTTCTTCCTTCCTTCCTTCCTTTTCTTCTCCCCTCCCTTGTCCTTCTCTCCCATCTTTTCTTCCCTCCTTCCCTCTTTTCTTTTCTTTTCTTTCTTTTTTCTTTTATTTTCTTTTTTCTTTTCCTTTCTTTTCTTTTCTTCTTTTCTTTTCTTTCTTTTTCTTTTCTTCTTTTCTTTTCTTTTTTCTTTCCTTTCCTTTTTCTTTATTTCTTTCTTTCCTTCCTTTCTCCCTCCCTTCCTCTTCTTTCTTTCTTTCTTTCTTTCTTTCTTTCTTTCTTTCTTTCTTTCTTTCTTTCTTCCTTCCTTCCTTCCTTCCTTCCTTCCTTCCTTCCTTCTCCCCTCCCTTCCCCTCCTGTCCCATTCCTTCCTCCCTCCCTCCCTTTCCCTTCTCCTCCTTCCCTCCTCTCCCCTTTCTCTTCCTTCCTCTGCCTCTCTTTCCTCCCTCCCTCCCTCCCCCCCTCCGTCCTTCCCCTTCCTCTGCAAGTCCCGCGGCAAAACCGAAGGCCAGCCGCCTTCGCCTCCCTTCCCTCCCTGGCGGGGCGCTGCGGAGACAGGCAGGAAGCGCTTATAAAGGCTCCGGGGTTCCAGCCTCGCCAGTCGCCATCAGTCCGCGTGCTGGGCCGGCTGTTTCCTTCGGCGCTGCCGCTTCTGGGCTCCTTCTTGTCCTCCTCCTCCTCCTCCTCCTGCCGCCCCCGAGATGCTGGCGCTGCGCTCGGCCAGCCGCCTGCCGCTCCTCTTGGCGCAGCCTTCTCCGCGGGGCCGCCTGGGCGCCGCCGGCCGCGAGCTGCTGCGGGGAAGCCCGGCTGCCGCCTCCGAAGGCGCCCGCGGCCCTGGCACCGCTTGCCGGGCTTGCAGCAACGACGGCCGAAGCGCCTCGCAGAACCCGCTGGTCTTCCTGGAGGTGGGCGCCGACAACCAGCCGCTGGGACGCGTCGTGCTGGAGGTAAGCCGGGCTTGGAGCTGCCAAGGTGCCCTTGGGCTGCGCTCCGCTGCCCCGTAAACGGGAAGGCGGGGAATCCGGATCAGCACTTTAGAAAACAACAGAATCACAAAAGTTGGAAGGGACCTTGGAGGTCTTCTAGTCCAACCCCCTGCTTAGGCAGGAAACCCTACACCCCTTCAGACAAATGGTTATCCAACATCTTCTTAAAAACTTCCAGTGTTGGAGCATTCACAACTTCTGGAGGCAAGTTGTTCCACTTATTAATTGTTCTCACTGTCAGGAAATTTCTCCTTAGTTCTAGGTTGTTTCTCTCCTTGATTAATTTCCACCCATTGTTTCTCATCCTGCCTTCAGGTGCTTTGGAGAATAGCTTGACTCCCACTTCTTCTTCTTTTTTTTTAATTTGATTTATATGCATTTATATATATGTATCTTCTTTGCGGCAGCCCCTGAGATATTGGAACTCTGCTATCATGTCTCCCCTAGTCCGCCTTTTCATTAAATTAGACATAATTCCTGCAACCGTTCTTCATATGTTTTAGCTTCCAGTCCCCTAATCATCTTTGTTGCTCTTCTCTGTACTCTTTCTAGAGTCTCAACATCTCAAACATGTTTTATATGGTGGCAACCAAAACTGAATGCAGTATTCCAAGTGTGGCCTTAGAAAGTGGTATTAACACTTCACGTGGTCTTGATTCTATCCCTCTGTTAAGGCAGCCTAGACCTGTGTTGGCTTTTTTGGCAGCTTAAGGCTTACTTAAGACTTTTAAGACTTACTTAAGGCTTTATAAAGCCTTAAGTAAGACCCACAACCTGGAATCCTGCATCCAGGTTTGGTCCCCACCAGTGGTGGGTTTCAAAAAATTTTATTACTGGTTCTGTGGGTGTTGCTTGGTGGGCGTGGCTTGGCTTGGTGGGCGTGGCTTGGTGGGCATGGCAGGGGAAGGATACTGTAAAATCTCCATTCCCACCCCACTCCAGGGGAAGGTTACTGCAAAATCAGCATTTCCTCCTGATCGACTGGGACTTGGGAGGCAGAGAATAGACGGAGATGGGGCCAGTCAGAATTTTTACTACCGGTTCTCTGAACTACTCAAAATTTCCACTATTGGTTCTCTAGAACTGGTCAGAACCTGCTGAAACCCACTTCTGGTCCCCATGTTACAAAAACAGAGGTTGAGGCTTTGAGAAAAGCACAGAGAAGAGTATCTAGGATGATTAAGGGCCCGGAGACTAAAACCATACGAAGAACGGTTGCAGGAGTCGAGTATTGGCTAGTCTAGAGAAAAGGACTAGGGGGCCACATGAGACCAGTATTTTGGTCACCATGATATAAACAAAAGATGTTGAGACTCTGGAAAGAATGCAGAGAAGAGAAACTAAGATGATCAAAGGCGTGGAGACCAAAACCTATGAAGAACGGTTACAGGAGTTGAGCATTGGCTAGTCTAGACAAAGAAGGACTGGGGGAGACATGACAGCAGTCTTCCAATATTTGAGGGGCTGCCACAGAGAGGAGAGGATCAACCTATTCTCCAAAGCACCGAAAAGCAAAACAAGAAACAATGGATGGAAACAAATCAAGGAGAGAAGCAACAATTAAGGAGAAACTTCCTAACAGTGAAAACAATTAATCAGGGGAGCTTCTTGCCTCCAGAAGTTGTGAATGGTCCAACACTGGAAGTTTTTAAGAAGATGTTGGATAACCATTTGTCTGAAGTGGTGTAGGGTTTCCTGCCTGGGCAGGGGGTTGGAGTAGAAGACCTCCAAGGTGCCTTCTGTCTCTATTCTGAGTGATTGATTGGGAAGGGCCAGCTCAGTGCCCATCAGGACTCACCTTCTCCCAGCTCCCATCCTTGGAGGCCAGCCAGGGGAGCGATAGTGATATGGGTTTGACCTTTTAAGGATTGCCCAACGTGACTGGCAGGGTCTCTCCTCATTTACAGCAGTCCTTGGCTTACAACAGTTCATTTAGTGACCGTTTGACATTACAACGACATTGAAAAAAGTGATTTAGGATTGTTTTTCACACCATTACAGCATCCCATGTGACCACGTGATCAGAATTCAGACTCTTGGCAACTGGCTCATCTTTATGACGGTTGCAGTGTCCCCCGGGTCACATGATCTGCCTTTTGCGCAGGGTGGATAAAAATCAAGGTTTTTTAAAAAATTTTTTTAAAAAATCAGATTTTTTTGATTTAAATCGGATTTTTTTTATTTAAATTGGATTTTTTTGATTTTTATCAAATTTATTTTAATAAAAAACTTTTGGAGTAAAAATCTATCATAAGATAGATAGTTTTCTATTTAAGATACATAAATAATTTAGTTTATTCAGCATGAAATGAAGCTTAGTTATGTAGCATGAGGCTGTATGTTCTGCAAGGGCGGCATATAAATCAAATTAAAAAAAATAAAAAAATAAAAAAAAAAAACAAAACACTAGGACTATCGGTCAAAGGATTAGCAGAGATGACAGTTACTCTTTAAAAATTATGATTTAAATCGAGTTGATTTAAATCAAGCCTTTTTACTAGTGATTTAAATCATGATTTAAATCGTGATTTAAATCAACTCGATTTAAATCAAATCCACCCTGCTTTTGCGACCTCCTGGCAAGCCAAGTCAATGGGGGAAGCCTTAACAACCGAGTTACTAACTTTTAACAACTCCAGAGATTCCCTTAAGAATTGTGGCAAGAAAGGTCGTAAAACAGGACAAAACTCAACAAATGTCTCGCTTAGCAAAAGAACCTTTGGGCTGAATTGTGCTCATATGTTGAGGACTATCTGTATTCCTACCTCGGCAGAGAAAAGCTTTCCTGAGCTTTCTTGCTGTCTCCGGGCATAGTTTGCTGGTGATGGTTGCTCTCGATACGTGTTGCTTTTGATGGGGTTTGCGCTTAATCGTAGGCTACTTATAAGTTGCGATTTCTTCTTTCAAAAGCCGTCCTTGGGGTAGATTGGGCCAAGGGGAAGAGGAGCTCCTGAGTTGCTGCCAGTTCCACTGGAGCCTTGATCTTTTGTTGGTGCTTACGGACAAGGAAGCGGTGGCTCAGTGGCTAAGACACTGAACTTGTCAATCAGAAGGTCGGCAGTTCAGCGGTTCGAATCCCTAGCGCCACGTAAAGGGGTGAGCTCCCGTTACTTGTCCCAGCTTCTGCCAACCTAGCAGTTCGAAAGCACATAAAAAAATGCAAGTAGAAAAATAGGGACCACCTTTGGTGGGAAGGTAGCAGCCTTCAGTGTTGAGTCATGCCGGCCACATGACCACAGAGATGTCTTCAGACACTGCTGGCTTTTCAGCTTAGAAATGGAGATGAGCATTGCCCTCTAGAGTCGGGAACGACTAGCACGCATGTGTGGGGGAACCTTTATCTTTACCGACAAGGAGAATATTTGTAGCTCAGGGTTGACATGAGGGTACTCTCTGAGCTTGCTTGTTTTCGTGCGGACGTTTCATTACCCGATTAGGTAACGCCATCAGTGCTAGCGTGGAACGAAACATCTGCCACAAAGCACCAAGGACCCCTCCTGTCAGTGTGCTAGCATGGAGGCAGGTTGAAAGGTTTAATTTCACCAGGTGAGGGGTGTGCCTGGTTACCCTCTGAACAGGGCAACATCAGGAAGCTGTAGACTGGACAGAGTAGTTTAAAAAAAATCTCAGAAGAAGATGGTAGTAGAAAAGATGATGATGATAATGATGGTATCGATATCCATTCAGTCATGTCTGACTCTTTGGTGATTCTATGCGCCAGGTCTTTCCATGTCTTCCGATCTAGCACTAGTTGCTCTATGCTCATTTGATGATGTAAAACAGTGTTTCCCAACCTCAGCTGTAAAATAGGTGGACCTCAAACTCCCAGATAATGCTACCTAAAAGCCTTATGTATCATGTTTGTGAAGTTCCAGGGAAGTTTCTTTGCACAAGAAAACACAATTGTTTAAGGAATGCTTTTCTTACCCCTCCCCTCTTTCTTCAACTTAAAATTTGCAACTGATTGGAGCTTCCCTTCTCCCTAAGTAAAGCTGTCATTGGCAGAATAGTTTAATATTAAGATTAACGTAGCTTGATCACTGTCAGTTACTCTCTTCTGTATGTGTTTTACCAGTTGGTGGCAGTCAGGCTGTTTGGTCCCTGTTCTCCTCTCTCCATCCCATAATACCAGCACCAAGGAGGCCTTCTGTGTTTCTACAGCTGGCAGACATTCAACAAATGGCTGGCACCTCACACATGTCCATGCTGTGAAAAGTTAACACTGGTACTTCAGAGGCCAAAACAGACCAGAAAAACAAGTCAATGGCTCAATAATGGAGAGAATTTACTCCACTCTTATTTTATTTCTGGCTTAAGATGATCTGTTTTTATTATTATTATTATTTACTTTATTCATTAAACATGAAACTCAGTCAACTGAACATTCAAAAATGCATCACAAATACCATTGACTGGTGCTAATGGTTGATATGGGTTGCTGCCAGCGTAGCGCAGTTTTTTGCAGTTCCGCTGGTGTTATTGCAGGAAGCTGCAATTTGCTGGTGTATGTTATAAAATTCTTGGACATGGTACCAAGTGCCCCGATGACAATGGGGATCACTGTTACTATTCGTAGAATCATAGAAACCCAAAGCCTATAAATACCTGGGCATACTGCAACTGGACAATATCAAGCACGGGCAAGTGAAAAATGTGGTCAGCAAAGAATACACACAAAGGGATACGATTTGGGACACGAAATCCAGCATGGTCATCTCGTTTGCTGTGTATACTGTAGAATAATAATAATAATAATAATAATAATAATAATAATAATTATTATTATTATTATTATTATTATTATTATTATTATTTATCATCACTCTGGTCTCCACCCTACCATTTGTTGGAGTCAGTCCTGTTGCTTTCAGGGGATAAAGGTAAAGGTTCCCCTCGCACATATGTGCTAGTCGTTCCTGACTCTAGGGGGCGGTGCTATTCTCCGTTTCAAAGCCAAAGAG